GAAACCGAAAATCCACATTTAGTAAATATCTAGAGATTATCTTGCAATTACAGGTATAAAGAAAAAAAATATCGATTATTATATACATTTTTTTAATAAAGCAACAAGTGTTCCAATAGAACGGGATTTCTGACGGAAACCAGTCTAATATCAACAAAATAGGTTATCTTAAAGCTAATACAATTTTCGCTTATTTGCGTTTGAAATCCTGGTGGAAAAGACGTAATTAGGGTTAATGCACAACAAATAAAGAAAAATAAATTTTAAAATAAGAAAAACTTTTAAATTTTTTTCAAGTTTTTACTATGACACACGTTTATTATAAATAAAATGATTAATTATTAGTAGTTGTATTTTCGGCATTAATATTACCCTTGAAAAGTGTCGAAATTGGGTTCTGTAATTATTAACGGGTTCGAGTTCGATATGCAAACCCGACACGACCCGACCCTTACGAAGCAACTAGATCCATATATGTGAGAAGTATAGTTTTTGATAAATTGTTATCAGATATAAAATTGGTCTTGAATAATCTACTTCTACGCCATTAATTTTTCTTTTGCGACTACGTCATTTTTGGTAATCTTCCGCAATAAGGAAATATTTCGAAGTTCTTCATTATTATTATTAATTTTATTTCATCCTCCATAATAAAAACTTATTTTTTCGCTATCAAAATATGTAATATAGTCAGTGTTTTTTAATATTTTGGTTAATGCTTATAGCAGCTGTTATAAATATTTTTTTTAAATGTGTAATAAGAAAAGATAAAACACAGAGTTTAATTTCTAATAAACTTAATTTGATTGCGTAACATGTCTAAGATATTAAAATGTACAATGAATGGTAACGGGACAATTTGATGGCTACGGCCGGAAACGAAAAGTAAAAATAATAATAAAATACATACCACGATTACTTCCGAAATAAGCCAACCCGCAAAGGATAAAAAAGAAAATACTTAAAATAATGGCTATCGGCTCTAGATTCATATAAAAAGGTTTTTTCTGGTCATTTGATTTCACCTCAAATGTTTGATGATACAAATATAAAATCATTTTTGACCGTTTCTATTCTTTCATTCAATATATTAAAGCCCTTGATTAATAATTTTTAAACGGATTATTATTTACATGAAACGTGAAGACGCTTTAGATGAAATACTAAATTCTAAATCTGGTCGTGTCAGTGCACACCGTTGCTTTGCTACTCATAATTGTTGAAGTTTAGCTTAAAAATTTGATTCTGTATAGAGCAAAGCGGATATTCATGTTTATTTATAAAGCATAAATGCAAAATACTATGAATTCCATGCTATACTTCAAAAATGCTAAACCTTATCTAGCAACTAATACTGTATAACTAAAATTTGCCGAAAAAATTCACATACACCAGGGTTGCAGTTAATTGGTCTAAATAAAAGTTAATTCTCATAAGTCTAATTTTATCAATTATGAATACAAGGTAACTTTTTATGAAAAAATGGAAATGGAATAACTATTTAAAGTTATTATAATAAGCTAATTGCAGTCTCAAAGACAAGAATTAAATTAGTCCAACTTGAAAATAATCAGCCGACTCAAATAAATGAACGATTTATTAAATAATTGCGTAAAAATTAAATATTCAAATTTGGCTTGAAACTCCGAATATAAATGCATTCGAATAGATTCATTTAAAAAAAACGCGTTATCAAAGGGAAATAGATAAAAGTAAACCATATATATTTATTAAGTTCTTTTTAATAATAAAATAACAAAGATTTACTTTATTTGCTAAACATTTGAAATACTTCATAATCTTCTATTAAAAATTCATCATTCTGATCTCTTATCATATTTTCATAATAAGTTTTTCTACCATAAACACCATAATCTTTTAATTCATTTGATGTATACAACACAAGATCACAACCAAATGATGGACCATAATTTTTTCCATAATTTAATGCACACGATGCATCATCTATATTGCTTAAAATTACATCATGATAACAAATATCTTTAATTTTAAAAGAAAATATAAAACTTTTCTTACAAACCCCCCAATTTTCAGACGATTTCCATATAATAGGATTATACCCACCAAGAATTTCATCCGTTCCTTTTACCTTAATAAATGTAACTGTCTTAGGTTTATCATCACATAATGAATGAAATATTTTAGGAGTGAACCCATCTTTGCTTCCTCGTAGCAATAATTTGAATTCATACGGTAAATATAATTCACTTTTTTGAGAAATTTTATTACGGAGATCTGCTCTATCGACCCATTTTGAAATTAAAGAAATTATATTTGAGTTTACAATTTTTGAATCAATTTTAATATTTCTAGTTAATAAATAATTATTAGGCAACTTTTCAAAATCTAAGTAATACTCCAATAAATCCTCATAAATTTGGGGTTTAAATAATTTTTTATATGGATGAACATTTTTCAAGAAATCCTTGGAAGATAAACTATAAAATCTAATTGATTTAAGACAATTTTGTAGAGTACTTTCCATTGTTTTAAAATCATTATCAGACCAAGTTGCAGGATCTGAAACGAGTGTAGGATTTTTTGCGATACCCCAATCTAGTACATGTTTCCAAACTTCAATTTCTTGCATCTGAAAATCATCTCGCTTAATGAGCGAAGTCAATGATTTCTCTGGAAGTGAAGTGAAATCAAGTGAATTAAATATTTTTTCAGGAAACTTGGCCATCAAATCCACGCAAAAATTTTGAAGTTCTAATAGTTGGTTTGATTGAAAACTTGTGCGATGAACTAGCCCAAAATGTTGTTCCATCCAATTATCTTTATTTTTAATCAAATATGTTTGTAGAAAATCAACTAATTCATGAAGCAATAGATTATCTGCAGCAACCAAGACTTTGAGAATTTCTGAAGTGTCCTGCTCATTCATTGAAAGTATCCCACCATAAATATACCTGTAACATAATAATTTACGGTTAAAATTAAAAATAAATAAAATCAATGAAAAAAAAAAAAAAAGATAAATTTACTTTAAAATAATTTGAAAGATTTCTGGCAAGATATTCGGTAACTTTATGTGAAACAAGACATCATTATTACTTTTTTTATTATTAACCAAGGTTCGTCGTAAAAATGGCGAACGGTAACACAAAATATTCATATGAGCACGAAATATTTTTATGTTTGGATCCTCTCCAACTTCAATTGTAATATCATAATACTCATCATCTTCCAATATTTCAATATAATTTTGACTTAATTTCGAAAAAAATTGTGAAGACATTTCAAAGTTTAATTTTTTTACAAAAAAAAAAAAAAAAGTTACTGTTTATATGGCTGGCTGATGATCAGATCCATTCCTTTTTTATTAACTTTATTCCGATTTAAGAAGTGCACCCTTTTCAAAACATTCTGTGAAACTTTCTATTTTAGAATTTCTGATTAAGGTTTTTTTCACGCTTGCTAAGTAAACAATCGCCACTGGTTATACCGAACCTGTTTGTGCCGATAACTCGTTATATTACCCGCTTACTAATTGTTTGCCCGTGATGGTTATATTGATATTTTACCGGATTCACTATCGGTGTTGAATTTTCCGTGAAAATATCAACATGACGCAATTACCGTGATATACTTTATCAAACGAAAATCGTACCGCAAAATATTTAATATATTTTATTTAATAAGCTTGATATAGAAAAAGCATTTTTTAAAAATATTACATTATTATAAGCATTTATTATTATAAATAGAAATTAATTAAAATAAATGTTAACATTTTTAAAATGACAATTATTAAACATCGGAGCCTTTTTACTAATCTTGTGATTCAAGATTTGTAATTTGAAAAGATTGTAATGGTTTCTTATTGTAATCTAGAATTTGCTGCACAGGAATAAAAATGTCCTTTTCAATGTCAGTAATTTTAGATGTTTTAGGTTGTAAACATGGATTGTTAAAAGTTCACGAGCAGTATTAAATTTTACGGTCTTCTTTGATTTCATTTTTTAAGAAATAAAATTAAAAAAACAGTATTTTTACGTCACAATAACAAGTTTTCTTATCACGGGCGTTAGTAATCGGAAATATAATAGTTATTAACCGCTCAAATCGCCGACATCATCAGGGTCAGTCACGGCTGCGCCGTGACGTCTGATGATATCTCTGATTTCGCGGTAAATAACTAATACATTTCGAACCAAAATATTCAGACAAATTTTTTATAATTAATTACACTGGATATAACGAGCTTCTATAATTAAATGCTATATACCGCATCCGAACTCAATTTAACCGGTCCACCACTTACAGTATCTTAATCATATATTTTATATACCGAAAAGTCATGTGACTAAATGGTAATTCGGGCCAGATTTATAATACTGGCCCGAATTATTCTTTGACATTAAATAAAAATGGTTAAAACAGTTTTGCACGAGTAAAATGGTTGGTTCTGGCTCCAATAGAATAACTCTATGGAGAATTCTGATTCGTTTAAATACCATAAAGAAATTTCAAAAAAAAGGAAATTTATGTTAAATGAATTATAATACTGGCAGGCGCTACATTAAAGTCGTTTCGATAGCTCAGACCTAAATGCACATTTTCTTACGAAACGTATGCATAATTTAAGATAAACGGTAATATTGTTGAGATTCATGTTCTGTTATTACTATAATTATGGGTTAAGCTCTTTTTTTTTTAAACAATCACCTTTCATAAATCCGCAAATATATTTAAGGTTCCTTTTTAATTCATAATTTTAGTGTATTAAAGTTTAGAGAAAACCGGATAGCAGATTATGAGGAATTAAATCACATCAATTTCAACATCTGGAACCGGAACCAAAATTTATTTATTACATCGCCCAGGATAAAAATTATGAAAAAAGGCTGAAAGGATAGTTGGACGTTCTATTTATAAAATAATTGAAGAAAAGTCCACTCTTTAAGATACAATTTCAAGAATCACTATTGATAAAGATTCAATCTGGAAGGAAACATGTTTGCAAGTTAGAAGAATTAGATAGTATTACATAAGATCATATCCCTGTTATGACGTTTCGTCCTGTTATGTTGATGCTGATAAATTACCCTATATTTCATCTTGCTTCGGACTTCCCACCATTCCTCAATATGCATATTTTTGATATCATTAACTTCATATCTTTTATGAATAACAGAGACCGATGAGGAAGAAATAAGTATAGGAATTAGAGAAAAAGAGCAGGACACAAGGCAGATTGTTTCCGATCATTGGTCGCAAATTTACCAACAGAAGCAATCCTCGAAGTATGACCAGCACATATGGAATCGGACATTATGTAATTCTGCATGATGAAGGTACAAATCTATGTATTTGCCTTCTCTTGATTAATAAAAAGTTGGTATGTCGACACTTTTTCCATGTTGGTACCTATTCTAGTTTTGCTAAATTTCACTATGATCCCGAATCGATGGTACTCGAATCCCGAAGTTAAACTGAACGTACTTCTGCAACAATATTCTTTTATCCCAGTATGTGGTTAGACACAATAGGAAGATAAAATTATATCACTTTCCAACATTTCTTTCCCATTCGGATTGATTCATATAGTTCTCAATCATCGCAATCGTTTATAAAACCGTCACCTAATCTATGTAACCGGAATTATCCGGATTTTTAAAGACGGTTATTAACTCTGTCATTAAAGCCGATATGCAGCAACGAATTATTAAATGTTTTCAAACCCTTTATTTACGATGCTGATATTAAATAATCCTGTTGTTTTCAAGCATAGCGGACGACCTCCGAAAAGGTTAATGGCGAGTGTATAAAGTTTTACATCAATTTCTTACGATATCCTCTCTTCATTAATCTTAAAATGAATAACGCGTTTAGTATATCCTTAATTAACCTGACTGAATATAAAATTAATTCCATAAAAGTTTTCTGAACACTTAAACGAAGTTTATATTTATTCTTTGCCTTTGTCTACATAAATTACGTTTGTAATGGAGTAAATTTTATCAAATTTGAAATTTAATTCATATAAGTTCTGGTTCGTATAAGACCAGCAATTTTATTGTTAATTTATTGTGAAATTTACCGAACATCCAGACCCTTATTTGACCACCGGAAATGTAGCATATATATTGTCAGAAGGTCGTAAGCTCCTTTGTTAACCCTTGTTAACAAATTTTTTTAATCTAGATATCAAAAAAAAATAAAATTATTAATAGTGGTATGGTTGTTTAAAAATTCCGGTTAATTGAATAATTTTTTTTAATCAAATAATATAAAAAATTTATATAATATAATAAATAACCTTACAGATACTGTATGTAATATTATTACATCTTAAGCGATTTTATAACGACCTTATTGATACGATAAACAGTTTTGTGTCTTAATATGCGAATTCAGATAAGTATAAATTTGATCAAGTAATTGTTTGAAATTTATTTGATTTTTCTCGTGAATATCTTACACCTAATACCTTGTCACAACATTCTAGGGAATATTACACTGAGTCAAAATAATGTTATAAAGCGTATTAAATTGCCTCTACCTTTGTCATTATGATGAAAATAAATGGATAAATTTTATTATTTATAATTTCTATAATAAATCAAAAAAATAATGACTATAAGGTAAAGAATTATTTATCAAGCAAAAAAATAATTTTTAGGCATTAATAACTTTTATCAAGCCAAGCATTATTTGTATTAATAAAATTGCATTAAAAATTATATATTGAACAATTTGTATAATAAGATTTATTTTTTCCTTTCTTTTTTCTTTTTATTTGTATAAATTCGAAAGATGAAATTTTTTGTAATGGCCTTTTTTTTATTTAATAGTTGCGAAGCCTTACTAAAACAATTGGATGATACAATTTAAATTAAATGTAATATAAAGTTCAAATATAATAATATCATTATAATAAAAATGTAAAAATAACTGAAATAAGAATTTTTATTTGTTATTTTAAGATAGTTACGATGAACTGTGACCTGAAATTGCCATTGCTTCAACTTCTTCATTCAAGCATCAAATATTGATTGAATTGCAGTATCACTCTTGAATGATTAGAATAGAATTATAGAGTGATATAAACTTATCAGAAACCTTTAAACATCCTAATGGAAAATCTAATAAGAGCGCTATTATATGTGATATACCTGTCACAAGGAAGTTTTGTAGTAATATATCTAAAAAATAGTAAACAATAGCTTAATCACAGGACACCGGATAACTATCAAGTATGATTTGATATTTATCTAAGTTTATATTTAAGAATACGTAGTAGGCTACGTAGGTATGTAGGCCGTATTAATAAAGGAATTTCCGTTTAGGCTTTCGCTAAAATCTTTGCAGACTTAATTTGGATAACTCATCTATTTGTTTTGTTTACTGAATATATAACCTAATCGAAAAAACATGAAAAGTTATGAACTTATTATCCTAATAGTTCCAAACTAGTAAGGTTAACTTTGGCTTGACTCATTATATAATGTCAGCAGATTGTTGAAACTCGGAATACTTCAAATCAATAATAATTTTTTATTTAAATAAAAAGAATTAATGGGTTATTTTCTTCGACTCAAAGATCTGTGCGAGTTATGATAATATATATTCTAGGATCACATTTTTACTTTTCCTAGATGTTTATCATGAAATGTGATGTATTATTGCGTCATAAATGCAATCTCTTTAACCAATATGTAATAGTGTAATTTATAATGTGATGTGACCTTTAACTGAATAAATGTCGACACTTTGCGGAAAATATTGAAATTGTATTTATGATACCATCCTTTAAAGAATAATCTTAATTTTAAGAAGGTTACATAATTGTCGTGGCGATTTTGTTTTTATTAAATGATATTCTTACAAACAATATTTTGAATTCGGAACTGACCAGGATGATGTAATGAAACTACAGGGTAAATTTTTGGTGGTAGATTCCCCATTCCAATACATTTGGATATTTTACACCATTACAGTATGTAAATGAACAGATCCTTTTATTCATATCTAAATGAACAGTAACTTTGCTATTATCTTTTGTAAATGAAGGACAATATCCACGTTTCTATACGTTAGAATGAAAATTACACCTGAAGAGCCTAACACCCATCCAGTACTTTGAATTCCTGCAATCTTTTCATAATCAAAATTTTCTATTGCAAGCACTCCAACCCAAGTAAATATACAATGTTTCTGTATAATAACAATCCATTCAAAAATACCTTTATTAGCCCTAACACTTTGGAATATATTGCAACGATCTGATGACCGTACAACCTTCCCACTATCTTCAATAATAGCATTGATCCACTCGCTAACTCATCCAAAATATAATCATAAATTCCACGAACTTGATTATTTATATAAAAATGACTTTTGTCGATAAACATTAAAAATCGTTCGTTTGAAAATCTTGAAGGTCCAATAGTTGAAAGTAGCCCACAGCAATATATGACTCAACGATATTTTCTTTGTTAAAGGCTCCTCTTGAACAACTCATATGTAAACATATTCCAATATAATTTCCATCACTGATGAATTAATTTTTGAAAAAGTAATTTGATTCTCATAACTTTCTCTCATTCCATTGTAAAGTAATGCATCAAATACTTCAGATCTTGCAGCTAAAATCGCTCTATAACCATGTAATTTCTTTTCATATATGCATATAATTTCTATGCCATGTTATTGATTAATTCTCAAATCTTGTTCTAATGAATAAACTCCTATCATATTTTTTTTTTTTTTTTAGACGTGGGAAAGAAAATTCAAAATGATCGGCTGCACAAGTTTCGGTCACAAATTTTTTTTGTATGATTTTAACGTTACACCTTTAACCTGACTGTAAAATAATTTCATCTGTGAAACGCAAATAAGTATATTATAAATTTGGACCAATATTGTTAAAAATTAATAATGTGCACGTTGTTGCAAAAAGAACAAGCAATTATTATTTTTTTAAAAAAAGCTTTGAAAGATTATTTCACGTAGCCAAATAAATTATATATCGGCAGCCTCGGTATCGAACGATTAATTTAAGTCATCTAGTTAATACAGTTGCGTTGTTCTTAATAAGGTATTTCACATTGTAGAGAATCTTATCTAGATGTGAAAAAATCAATGGAAAAGTACAAAATATTAATTTATAAATATTTATTTACCGTGGTCTATGTTTATAAAAATTTTAAAATAGTGAAATTTGTGAAAATTTTTATAGTCATTTTAATTTATGACAACGATGTAGATTTAAGACAGACAGGGAAGTTCTATATCAAGTAATTAATATGATTGAATGTAGCAATTTCTTTTCTTTGAAAATATGAAAAGTAAATTCTTTTTTTTGAAATTACGTTATAGAACTTCGCATATCCTATTATTAAGAAAATGATCACATAAATTATATAAATTGATAAAATATTTTTCGTTTATTTAAATAGACTTTCAGTTCAAAAAACAAAGAAATCTTCTAAATTATTAATGTACATTTTTTTATGGCATCCTTACATATCATATTGATTGATTTATTTATTTATTTTTATCATATGGGGCTGAGAAAAGATTTTCTGTAAATTTCTATGCAATAAAATAAAATGATTTATTGTTATATACGAAATTGATTTAATATGAAAATGATCTGCATGTGACATTTAAGTGACTGTTACGTTATAATTTTAAAAATTTTAAGATAGAAAGTAAAAAAGTAAGAAAAAGATAGACTAAATTAAGCAGCAGTCCGAATGTGATCAAAAATCCTATAAAAAAATAAAAGAAATAAGACGACAAAAGATAAAAAGAAAAGAAAAATAACATCCTTAAAAAAAAAGAAAAATTTAAAATTTAAATTAAGTCGACGATAACTGAATTTACGAAATTGTAAAAAAAAAAATTGCATATGATTGGTTAAAATGTTTTTTTTATGGAATTCAGATGATTTTCAAGTCAGACACTCAAAAATCCAACTTCAGACGAAAATCAATTTCAGTGTTTCATTTATTAATTTAATTTTCTTTATTTTTTTACTTTTTTGGTTCTTTCGCTTTGAGCCATACCGATTTTTATTTCAATATTATTTAAAACTAGATTAGGTTGGTGTGCGGCGACTTTGTCGCCGCTAATTATGGTTCTTATACTGCTTTAGTTGTAATATATCCTTTAATAAGTTATCGCCGTGACGAGCCGAAGGGTCCATCCGAAGTGCCGCGCCCGCATTCGTCCGAAAGGGAGGAATCGACCCTAACCTATAAAATCGAAAAGAATATTAATTAACAATATAACATACCTGACTGCGCCTTTTCAATAAGCCAAATTGGTAAATGTACTGACCTAACCTATAAAATCAAAAATCGAAAAAAAATAAACAAAATTATTAATCAATAATTATTAATTAACTTATTATTAATTAAATCAATAATCAACAATAGGAATAGACAATACATAATAGTAGAAAAATAAATTTCATTATGCACCGTCCGCGGCAGATCAAAATTTTTTTTTTTTTTGTTTTGAAAAAAAAATAATATTTAAACAACCTTTATTCCTTGAGGTAGATTCCTCTCCTACCTACTTTACCTTATCCTCTATCTCCTAGTATTAGTGTCAGTGTTAGTGTTAGTGTTAGTATTAGGTAAAATAAGGTATATAAAAATGGCCGGTCGTTGGAGTTATACGAATTGTCGTCTAAAAACTAAAATTTTTTTACTGTAACACAGATCCTCCTTTAATACTATAATTATTTCTAGTGCTGTGCCTCACATCACATACATACAAACGGGTAAGATCTACATGCCTTGACAATATGTATTACTATTACATTCTGTTATCGTTATACAAGTAATTTGATTGAAATAATTTTTTTTTTTTTAAAAAAAAAAATTCATTTTTATAAATTATAAAAATGTCTAATAATAATTATAAAGGTAATAGTATAATAAAGAAACTAAAAATATTTTCAT